ACATTAGTTTTAGTTGTTATTGATGCAAAAATGTATGTTTGTTCAACCCAAAAGCAAATCATGCACTGGCTAATTAATATCATGTTTATTGCAATATTAATTTCAATGTTGCTATGTGTTATAATAAGAAAAAAATATATGATCATGTTTACTGGTTCACTTAATGAGGAATTTGGTCAGTGAGGGAAGTACTCTTTTTTTGTTTTTGTACTTCATTAAATTGTTGCTATTGTTACAGCTTATTCTGCACAGTGTTTGCACCATCAAATACAAGTTATATGTGGAGTGACAATACATTGACTCCTTTGTTGAGTTGTTAAAGAATAACTGTGGTTTAGTATTACCAGGTTTATTTAACTTTTTATGGTTGTTGTAGTTACATTGTGCAAACTGTGCACAGCACATTGAGCTGTCATAGACACATTAAGGGTAATACGCCAGGTAGAAATAAACCTTTAAGTTAACCTTTAGTGTTACATGGGTTACTCAAAAAGAACGTTCAAGGACTTTTCAGCCAACCTGGGTTGAACTGAAGGGTGTGTTCGAGTGTTAAGCCAAATTAAAAATGTGATTAGAAAAATATCTGTAGTATGTAGAGTCACTATTTTTTCCAGCATTTTTAACTCCTTCAGAGAATATTGTAGAAGTTGATTCCAGGTTTGTTTTTTTTTTTGTTGTAATTTTTGGACATTAAACAAATAAATTCACGTTTGGGAGTTCTCTCCACACTGAGTCATGTTTGGGCTGTTTTCATAGAGGTGCAGGAGTTTATACTGCAATGGAAAAATAACAGGAGCAAAAACCACCTGGAAAGCGTTGGGAGTTTGGTGGGTTAAAACAGTTAGAATTAAAAATGCACTCAAAAAACTGTGAAGACAGAAGTCTACTAATGTTATGAGCAGAACCCTGTTTGTGTTATGTTGGAGTCAGCAAGGCAACATTAGTTTTTGTGAAAATTGTGTTTACCTACATTGCCTCTCAGATGGTTTGGTGACATTATCTGTTTATCATATCATTCTAGTGTTTCCCCTTTTTACAAAAGAGAAGTGACCGACAGTCTTGTGCACCGGGGCCAACATAGCATATTATTACAGATTAAATAATACCCACATTCAAAGATTAGTTATAGCCATATTTTAAATTAAGCTTTTTTTAAAAATTTTTTTTTATTTCTACACACTTTCACACTAAGAAAATCCAGTTTAGATTTCAGCTCCAGCACAGTATCGGTGAGCACTTATCTCTCAGGTGGATTATGTTGCCTGGGAGCATTCTCCTCCCTCCCTCCCTCCTGCCGGCCGGGCAGCCTGCAGGACTCCACTGATTGTGGGGGACGAGGCGTGTGTGACTCTGCTGATGCTGCCTCAGCTAGACTATAAGAGGCTTTGAAAGACGGGCTTAGGATCTCGCATGAATACCACTCTCTGACTCTCCATCTTTATTCTACGCTGTCTCTCCTGCTCCATTTAAGTTCAGTGTTTTTACTTATCAACACTCATAAACGTCACTGGGCCTGCTGAGTATCAATTATGGGAATGGAGGTAGGAGGCTTATTGAATTATATGTGTAATTTTATTTATTTTTACATATTTAAAGCTGTGTATTTGTGATAAAGTTGAACCCTCACGTGAGATAATGGTATATCATACTTTTGTGGGTTGCCAATTAACATAATGTTAAAATGTGTGCCATTAAAGTAAAATCAACAGAAAATGTTCTTTAGTGAATTACTTTTAAAAGCCACTTTGTAAACATTGTTTTTAGACATTATCAATGCAAAAATGGAAGTTTGTGCAAACCAAAAGGCAATCTTGCATTGACTGATTCATATCTTGCTCATTACAATATTATTTTAAATGTTACTATGTGATGTAACAAGAAAAGAAAGCATTCATGTTTCTCAATAGGATCTGGCAGTGAAATATTTCTTCATGACAGTTAGTAAACAGTTACCTCACATAACTTTTCTTTCGTGTGAGTTTATCAACGTTCATGTTTACTGGTTCATTTTATGAGGCAACTTTTCAGTGAGGGAACTGCTCTTTTTTCTTTTTCTACTTCATTAAATTGTTCCCATTGTTGAGACTTATTCTGCACAGTGTGTCCTTGTGTGGAAAGTTAATGTCAAATTATTTATACTATCAAACACAAATGATCTGTGGAGTGGCAAATTCCTTCTACATTGACGATCTGCTGTAAAGGTTAAAGAATAACTCTGCTTTATTCTAACCAGGTTTATATCACTTTAATGCGGTTGTTGTATCTACATTGTGCAAACTTACTTGGCCATTAAAGCTGATTCTGATTCTGATTCTGATCTGCAACCTGAATTCTACTTGGTTCAATCTACATAGTTTTACAATCTCCCTATTCCCACCACTTAGTTAATTGCATAGTTGCGAGATATGACTGGTTTAGATAAACTATTTTAGTGCAAACATTATTTTGATTAGTTTGGTTGTATCGACCTAACAATATGTGTAATTTAAAGTAAAATTTTGGCATTAGTTGATTTAAAACTAAATTCAAATTGTAGTAACTTCATGAAATTGGCTTGGCAACAAATTCTTTCCACCTTGACACTGAGGATTTCTATCTTAGCATACTTTAATCAAGATTATTAAAATTACCTGGGACTGTAGAGGCAAAGATAATTTCCCTAACTCACTTTATTGATTAAACATAGTGTTATTGGAAGCTGTCATGACTCAAAAAGTGTAGGCTATTGTGAACAATATTCTTTCTACACAGATTATATAATAATAATAATAATAATAATAATAATAATAATAATAATAATATGTGTAACAGCCTCTTTTATCTGCTTCGTTTTGAAGATTAAATTAAGCTCTGCTAACAAAGCAAATATTCGCGTGGTGCCTGCCAGAAGAGTTTTTCATTTAGTTTGAGTTTGAGTGTTTAACTTATGACTGGAATTGAATGCTCATAACTGAACTCAATGCCGGATTGTGCCTGTTCTCCTGTGCTTGAATAGAATGAAAATTCAGCTCCTGTAATGTGAATGGCACCTATCCATGCCGAATCACAAAATTTGAAATTATCCAAATGGGAGTAAACCATTTTAATCTACCAATGCTGCAGAAGCAATAGTCTTTACTTTGTGATTAGAGGGTCCACAGCAAAACTGAATTTCCTACCTTTCTGCTATCTACAGGGGCATGTACTTATTAAACCTCTTTTCACCATAAATGTCCAACAAACTACGATCTTCCAAGCTTTTAATGCTTTTTGCAAAAAAAAAAAAAAAACTATGGTGGATGTTAAAGGGTTGAACTGCATCAATGAGTAAAAAGTGGTGTTAGGTTGTTGCATATTGCATTTTGAAGAAAAACATGAAATATCATGTGTCAAGCTGCTCTAAATGGTCACTTTGTTGTTATGATGGTGTTAATTAAAGCGCTGATCTGTATTTGGGATTGCTAAAGCGGAAGAGCACTACTTATGATTCATTACTGTGTGTATTATTTGAGGTTTTATAGGTTGTGTGTGTGAGTCTGTGTGCCTGTGTGCAACTTCCTTTAGTAATTTGTTTGTCGACTGTGTTTGTAATTAGAATGTTTTTAGTCTAGAAACACTGCAGGAAGCTGAATTCACTCTCTCACCTATATTGTGGTGGTGTGCACAGGAGGTGACAACACTTTATTGTGCAGCAGCTAAGGTTGTAAATGTCCCTTCTGTAGACATTTTTGGTGTCTTTGATAATGACTGCATTGTTCTCAAGTGATCTACAGTGCCTCTTGAAAGTTAGTAAACCCTCTACAATTTCCTATATTTAATGTATAAATGTGACATATAACATCTTCCGATTTTTTTTTAGAGAAGCCCTACAAGTACATAGACAGAACCCAATAAAACAAACAGACAAAAATAATGTATATTACTACATAGCTACTTCTAAAGTGTTTGGACTCCACCAATCCACAGTTTGACAGATTACATACAATTGGAGGAAGTTCAAAACCAAGAGTGGTCGACCGGTCTGCAGTTTGCTAAAGATCATGTGGATGAACCAGAAGACTACTAGAAATATGTTTTGTTTGACCAAAGTAGAATTTTTAAGAAGTATGATGTATGAAGAGTATAAAACAGAGCATCCTACTATAAAATGTATGGTGGCGGTGTCATGATTTGGGCCTGTTTTGCTCCACTGGGACATGGACATCTTATTATTATCAATGGAACAGTGATCTGCATTATACACAAGAATTTTGAAGGAAAATGTCAGGACATCTGTCTATGAACTGAATCTTGAGAGACAGTGGGTCATCCAGCAAGACAACAACCCTGAGCACATAGGTTGTTTTACCAAATAACAAGTAAAGACCAGGAAAGGTAATGTTTTGGAATGGCAAAGTCAAAGTCCAGAATTTGATCCAATAAAAATGTTGTGAAAAGACATGAAGTGAACAGCTCAGGTGGGAAATCAACCAACACCCCAGAGTTGAAGCTGTTCTGTACCAAGGAATGGACTAAAATTCCTTGTTTAGTTGTGTTACTGCTGCACATCACACCAGATACTGAAAATAAAGGTTTACCTATTTCTGCCACTTAATATTGGATAATTTTCCTCAGTAAATAAAAGACCAAGTGTAACAGTTTTGTCTCATTTGTTTGATTTAGTTTGTCTTTTTTACTTTTAGTACTGATGAAGTCTTAGGTCACATTGATGCTGAAATTTAAAAATTTGTAGAGTTCATGAACTTTCAAGCAGCACTGTGTTCTTGAGATTGCACACATTCCTCTGAATGTGGGGGGAAAAAAAACAATATTTCACGGGATAATTCTATATTTTGAAAAACACTGATATTGCACCGATCTTCCATGAGTAGAGAATGCTAATATTTTGCAGTTGTTTGCATGCCTTGTTAGTCAAGTAGCCTTTTAAATGTACAAAATATTCATGACCTACAGGTTTCAGTGGCTTATTAAAAATGATTGTTTTATATTTTCCTCATTCACCTTCTCTTTTCTCTCCACAGAATGCTATTCGTCAGCACTGCTATGAAGCAGTCTTTCCACCCTGTGCAACCTTGTACCAATAACAGGAACACCTGAAGAGCCTTAACACATATTCAGCACTGTGGACAGATGAAGTGCACAATACGAGCCAAAAATAAATCATTGCAGAGACAAGCCTGACAGAGGCCTCACCACAACACATTCACATTGAGCCTGTACTGATCTTTCCTATATTGGTGGTGGTAAACATATTGCCTCATCACCTCATATTGCCTAGACACCTCTCCCCCCAAAGAACCCTCACAGTGCCCCTCAGAGGGGCAATGCCAGTCTTGCTAAATGCCGACGCCTCCTTCAGCTCCAAACAGGAGCTTTTGGACCTGCAGGACTGCCCTCTCAGCGGGGGTCCCTCTCAGGACACCCCCAGCCCTGTGGATTCCCAGACAGGCAGCCCCGTAGGTTCTGGCCCCAGAAGCCCTGACAGCCCCGTAGCCGATGTCTCTGTGCGGCCCCACATTTTCACCGGGGCTTCAACGCTCCCTGGGCATATGTATGGGGCTGAAACAAGACCTCAAGCAGAAACTCCTTTGGGGTTAAGGCTGATATCCAATGACTCAGACCTGCTATGTGGCTGGGGAGCTCTGACACCCAAAGCCATCCAAGTTTTCAACACCCCTCGTTGGGTGCTGTTCTTCCTTTGTGTTGCCTCTTTTCTCCAGGGAATGATAATCAACGGCTTCATTAACACCGTGGTCACCTCCATCGAGCGGCGCTTTGACCTGCGCAGCTACCAAGCTGGCCTCATTGCCAGCACCTACGACATCGCCGCCTGCGTCTGCCTGGCCTTTGTCAGCTACTTTGGGGGGACAGGGCACAAGCCTCGCTGGCTGGGATGGGGGATGCTCATCATGGCACTGGGTTCTCTGGTTTTTGCCTTGCCTCACTTCACCACGCCGCCCTACCAAGTCAACCTGCCCGAGCAAACAGGAATGTGCTCGGCAAACCGCACCAGCCCGTGCCAGGACGAGGAGGGAGGAGGGTTGTCCAGCTATCGCTTTGTGTTAATGCTGGGCCAGTTCCTGCACGGTGTCGGTGCCACACCTCTCTACACGTTAGGGGTCACATACCTTGATGAGAACGTCAACTCCAACTATGCACCTGTTTATATCGGTGAGTCGTATCAGCTATTCATGAAGTGGTGCTGTTTTGTTTTGCTTAATTTGCATAATGTTTTCAAAGTAGTTATCCTAATAGAAGCATGAAATAATCTTTGCACTTGTGTCGTAATCTTCTTTTTGCCACAAAATTCAAAAAGCAGACACAAACTTGAATGAACATTTGCTTCAAAATAGAAAATGTCAAGGTGTGTAAAAGAATGAAAAAAAGCCCAGTATTCCTTATAGATACTCTTTTTTGTTCACACTTTCTCTTTTCATTTGTCCCTAGAAAGTACAATACTATGTTGTTAATTCTACTGTTAGATGTGAAAGCTCTAGTTAGTGACACAAATTACTATTACAACTCTCTGTGAGTTATATGCCCTCTGCGGGCTAGTATCACACTATTTATGTTCAGCCATTGCATCTTTGACATTGGTAATCTTTGGTTGTTGAAATGCAGCAGTTTAAATACACCAACTGAGCAGTGGCTCTTGCTGTTAAGTATTTCAGGTGATCTGGGCTCCATGTTAATTTCAAATAGGTAGTTAGCATGCAGCTCTGAAGTTTAAGTAGGTGACAAAACTGAAACATGAGAGAAAGATGTTCCAATTGACATTTCAGCACATGATATTGTTCTGTATGCCTCTCACCTTTTCAGGACTATTGATACATATGTCGTTAATCAATATTAAGCCACATTAACAATGAGTCACTGACATTATTAAAACGTAATGAATTACAATGGACATTTCATAGGCTAGCAGACCTTCGTCTTTTGTAATTTGTCCAGCTGGTACAGGTGGTCCACAAACACACCTGCAACTCCATGCCATGAAACAGACTTCTTTTTTTTCCTTCTTTTTTTTCTGTTAAAAAACTTAAAACTCCACCCCATTCACCTCCATTTTATTGGTGAAATTTCATTCTGATTACTTTATTTTTGGACTTTGATTATTATTTTCATGTAACTGATGGCTCAGGAAACACTGACATTCCTGCCATGTTAAAAAAATACAGAATTCACACAGACCCAACGGAAGTATCTGTAGGAGCTGTTGGATGTTAAACTGTGGTTTCATTATGAGGCTGTTGTTTCATTTTTATTTACTTAAGTCATAAGACAGGGTTCATTCTTGCTATAACTTCACTACTGTAAATATTAAAAGCATTCTGATTAGTAAAGCTGTGTATTATGCCTATGACATGAAATGAATGAAATGAAATGAAAAATACTTTATTCATCCCAGAAGGGAAATTCAATCAAAGAAGGGAAATTCAATCTAATGACATGTCAGGTAATGTAAATATTTAATGAAATTGCCTCTGCTGTGCCACCTGAAAAAGGTGAGCAAGGTTCATGCTGCAAATTGAAGACACTTTGGACCCTTTGATGCTACGGCATTAGCTTATGAGTTGGTACAGCTGAAGGAGCTCAACTCTGGTGGGCTCCGACCCAATTTAAGCCCTGGTCATACAGCAAGTCCCTCAACATCTGTATTATCTACATCATCGGTTAACATAAGCTCGTGTTAACTTAAACAGCTAAAAAGTTTTTACTCTATTGAAATTTATGAGGACAACAACATGTAGAAGCCAGTCCAAGTCAGTAGATTGGGAGTTGATTTGATCAAAATCACCATAATTTAAGTCACGATTGCAATATTGTTTCAAAATTATTGATTACGCTACTGGTTATTGATTACTCTACTGGTAACGTTTTCATTTACTCTGTCCATAAAATGTCAGAAAACCGTCAAAAATATCTCTCAACTTGATGTTGTCATGTGCTCTTGTTTTGTCCAGCAATCCAGTTTCCTATCGAAAAACTATAGTGTATGGAAGGAGCTGAAACCAGTGCAGTAGCTACTTTTGGTTAAAAAAAACAAACAAACAAACAAACAAACAAAAAACCGCTGATAATTATTTACTTAAAAAAAAAAATGTAGATACATTTTCTGGCAATAAGTTATCAACTGAGTAATTGTTTTAACTCTCAACAAGAAAAAAAGAAGAAGCCTTATTTAGCCTCATTTCATTCACCTCTTTGAACTCACTACCTAACTGAGTGGTGGTCAGAGAGTTTGACCCAGTATTACCCACTCTTTATTCTCCTCCAAGACACTCTCAGCTGCTTCAGGTCAAACAGTAAGGAGGCCACAGTTGTGTAGACTCATGTAGAGAGTGTGTTTGCTCAGTCTCAGCTCATAGTGGCAGCTGGGCACTGATCTCTCTCTCTGAATGTTAATTGTTGTGAATGTAGTTTGATTACACAGAATAATGAGAATACCCATTCAAACAGAAGGCCTTGACTCCCAGCTGCATCTTTAATCCTTCTGCAAAACACTCTTTCCTTCTTTCCTCTTGTTTCATTTGTGTTCAAGTTGAATCTCTCCATGTAGGATCAGATAAAGTACTTTTGTGACTCTATGGGATTTTGCTAATTAGCAGCAACCATCAAGAAGATTATCAGCGAATTTGCGTTGCCTCCATTAATAGAGAATTGGATACAGATGGGAGAGTTTATTGGGTAGAAATAACCACATTGGCTCATACACTCACAGTCACAAAGTCAATGGGGTCATTACTGTGTTGCCATCAATACTGATGACGTGCTCGCCCTTTAATTTCGCTCTCTTCGGCCTTGTCACCACCCATCTTCCCCATTCACTGTTTCCTATTTCTAATGGCTGCAGCGTTCTTACCAAGACACACAAACACAACAAGCACCCAGTTTCTCACATTAAGCCTCTTTTTCTCATGAAACATGACTTTCTAGATACAGATCCCATAAAAAGAACAATGGTCCTTTTAATCTGTGGGACAGGAAGACATAAGTAGGAAGCAGGAAGTAGATGCTGTAGTACCAACACATCCGTTCTCTGATTCTGTCGTCTCTGTCGCTCCACAGGAATCTTCTACACAGCAGCCATTGTAGGTCCAGCAGCAGGCTACCTGCTGGGAGGATACTTCCTAAACATCTACACTGAGATCCACCTGACGTGAGTTTGCTTTGAATGGCTGAATGTCCAAGGACAGCCTAGAATAAAATGGACAAGAGTATAAGACTAGAACTTTTTAGAGCAGGACTGATGGAAATAGAACAGACAGTAGGAATAGAACTTTTTAGAATAGAATGGACTATAGATAAAAATAGAGATGACCAGAATGGAACTATCGAGAATATAGTGCAAAGAACTACAGTAGAACTGACTAGAACAAAAGAGACTGGGATATAATGAAATACAATTAACTAGAATAGAACTGACTAGAGTAGAACAGGCTGTAAAATTAGAACTTGTTAGAACAGAACTGACAAGAACAGATGAGACTATAGGATATGAGAATAGAACTGACTAGAACAGCAATGACTTAGATAAAAGTGACTGGAATAAACTAAAATAGAAATGACTAGAATGGAGCTGGCTAGAGTATAGTAGAACCAACTAGAATAGAATAGATCACAGTATTGTAGTAGAAAACGAGAACAGAAATGACGAGAGTATGACAATATAGAACTGACTAGAGTATAATAGAATAGAACAAACTACAGATTAGTACAGAACAAACTAAGTATAGAAGTCATCATCTATAAAGGTCCACTGGTTCAGATGTGTCTGTGGTGTCACAGGACAGAGATGACTCCAGAGAACCCTCACTGGGTCGGGGCTTGGTGGATCGGCTTCCTAGCAGGAGGAGCAGCAGCTCTTCTGGTAGCGTTCCCCATCCTGGGCTACCCACGACAGCTACCAGGTACCACTGCTGCCCAACACACACACTATGTCGCTGTTGGAACAGTAGTGGCACAAATAACCTAAATGCCATTCACATTAAAATTTGTGCTTTAAATATTGGCAGGACTTTGTCAAGGTTTCTTGTGTGTCTTTTTGCAGGTTCTCAGGAATACGTCTCCATGCGGGTATCTGAGGCCCACCAGCTCAAGGACGGAAGTCACACCACAGCTTCAGACCCCCAGTTTGGCAAATCAGTCAAAGACATGCCCAGGTACAGGACGAGCTGATTTGATTGCAGTATAAATGGGTTATCCAGTAATGGCATCCAGAGGGCTGAAAACCAGACTATAAGGACTGAGAGAATCAACAAGAGGAGCTGCTTTTGTATCATATATTGCAAAATTAGTGATAAAATGTGTACTATCCCAAGAATGAAAGTTGCCTGTTACCTGTGAGTTAGCATCCAGTGATATTGTCAGATTGCTAGATTTTACAAAGGTGCTGACAGTTTAGCTGATAAGGAAGAAACATAGCAAAAAGCGCACACTGTTGTTGTGTTTATGACTATCTGATAATGAGAAGAAAGGGAGGCAAAAGCAGAGGAGAACCTTCAAACAGCAGTAGGGACTCTCACACTGAGCTGAAATGAAATGAGTGCACATAAATTAGATAACTTACAAAAAAACAAACAAACAAAAAAAAACAAAACAAAACTGCTTTTGAGTTTTTAAAGCTGAATTGCTTGCTGGAGTACAGTTTTGTTTTTACAGTGCAGTGTGGAAGGTCATTCTAGATCTGTTTATAAGCTTGGGAAGGGCCAACAGTATCAAAGGGAGGGATTCACATGCACATACACCTAGATCATCTACCAATTTATTATAATTATTGCAATCATGAAGAAAGTATGCTAAATTGGGAGCACAGTGCTGATGACCAATAATAAGGAATTCAGTTCTTCTGAATTTAGCCGCTAAAAATGTTCAGTCTTTTATCATCTATACACTTTAGTCATGAACCAAATGTGCTGGAGTCTATGGCCCCTAATTATCCACACGTGTTATTGACATAAGGATGAAAAACAGCAAAATGTGTATGAATAAACCTACCAAAGGGTAGTATTTGAATAGGGAATAAGACTAGGGTAGACCATACCTAAAATCACAAAAGAAACAGAACACTGATCAGTCAAATTATGTCCTAGCTTAAACAAATGAAGAGCTCATTTGCAAAAACAGATAACTCCATTTTTGTAGATTTTCAGAAAGCTTATTTTTTGTTGTTTGCTTGAGATAATATCAATCAAACTAAAGTTGAGTGGATTTGACTGAGTAAAAATGACGTAACCAAAATAGAGATAACTTAAGTTTGATTGATATTGTGTCGGGTAGAAGATGGAAAATGGGTTTTTCTAAAGGTTTGTGAAGATAGAGTTGTGTGTTTTGCAAACTAATTCTTCAAATACAGATACACTCGATAATACGACCCTTAACAATCTGAAAACCTTGCTCTCTGACAAGTTTTTAGGAAAAACGAATGGAACACGTGAAAAAAAGCCTTAACATACTGACAGCCTTGGATTCCGACTCCGACATAACATTTTATGTCACAAATAAGGAAAATGCCTTATTACTGACAACAATCTGGCAGATTGGCTACGTTCAGACTACAGGACTTAATGCTCAATTCGTTTTTTTTTTTTTGTGTCAAATCCGATTTTTTGTGAGTTCGTTCACATTTCCAATTAAATGCAACTTGTATGTGATCCCCTGTGTGAACTTCAAACGACCCAAAAGTGTCCCGCATGCGCAGAAGAGGACACGACAACGTCACACGCAGCAAGCGTGCTCAGTGTTTGCATAAGTAAACACGGACGGGTAGTGGCGCTCCGCCGCCGTCACCGATGGTGAAAACAGAAGTGTAACTGCTGTCCTATACTAGCATTAGCAGTCAAGTACTGCCAGCGCATTCCGGTCCACCCTGGGGGAGCGCTCCCCCAGAGTGGATGTGTCCCCCTTGATCGCTCTGAATATTCAGATATTCATCATTAATTGTTCCTGATTATCCAGAGACCAGAAAGTGCTATTCGGACCAGCCCTACAAGTTATTATAGCAACTATGAACAATAATTAACAACAAATTACCCTTCAAGCATCAAGCCCTCATTGTATCTCGACCGCTGGCTTGACAATTCAACTACCTTGCTATCCAACATAAAAGAAGGTTTTACATTTAGTGTCGGATTATTGAGTCACGACCGTACAATGTAAAATCTGTTTCCCAAAGGAACTGTCATTTCTAGACTTCCCATTCATTCCCATGTGCTTCTGCAAATTTCTGAAACACTTGTTGTCAATCTAAAGTTAAGACATATTCAGCAGCTGCTAATGTCTCACCTCAAATGTTGTCAGAAACACATTTTGGTGAACTATTTTCATAATATAAAAGAACGCATCCAATCAGGTTGAACCAGTGACGGCACAGTTGTAAGAGGCTGTAGCCAGCAATTGTCTGTCGTGACTCCATCTAGTTGTATTCCCATCAAGTGTCCAATACTGGCAAACCCTCACATCTAAAACACTCCTTGTGGACACACGCCATTAGACAGGCTTGTTATGAACATTACAAGTGAGTGACAGATCCTCCTGTTTCCAGTTTACAACTCTGTTTACTATGAGCTCAGCAGCTACAGTGTGAGGTCATCTCTTCCTCTGCCTCTGTGGGGATTACAGAGGATTACATGGCACGTTATGTAACATGATGATATATCTTTGGATCTAGTGCCGTGTTTATCTGTATCGTATTAGCAACATTTCCAGCAGCCCGCTTTAATGAAAAGGGAAGCTAAAGTTTATTCAGTTACAGTTGCTGCACACTCTGCCGCTCCCCTCCACTCTCTGTCATCTCTCTCTGCCTCTCTCGTTCCAGATCTGTGCTGCTTCTTTTAAAAAACCCCACGTTCTTGTTCCTGTGTTTGGCTGGGGCTACAGAGGCCACCCTCATCGCAGGAATGTCTACCTTTGGGCCAAAGTTTTTGGAGTCACAGTTCAGTCTAAGTGCATCAGAGGCGGCCACATGGTTCGGTAAGTAACAAATAAAGAGGTAGAGTCAAACAACATGTGGTCCAAAAATCTGAGCAAACTCGTGTGTAATTGCTACTTTATATGTCAAACTGAATAAAGCCTGTCCTGTATAGGTCATTTGGCAGTGTTGGAGACATTAAATATCTGTAATTCTACTCCTCCTAACCTAACTTGTTGTCTACCTTGACCCATAGATTACAGATCTATGTGCTGGCAGTAAAAAATGTATTGACTGAAACCTCCTCTTCTTGTTCACCACTATCCCAGAAGGAGCTATAAAAGGACCAGAATTAATTGCAGGATGACCAAAAGTAGATGCAAAACACCCAGAGAGATGTGCAAATTGACTAAAAGAGAGTAAAAGGGATCTAGAGACACCCAAAATTAACCAAATGACATAAATCAATCGAATTTTTTTTAAAAAATGAACAAAAAAATGAACAAACAAATGCAGAACCACCACAGAGAGAAGAAAAGTAAGGAATAGCATCTTTCAGGCTGGAAGTCTTGCTGCTCTTTAAGGGTGTGGGTCCCTGCATGTTGTATGCCAGGAGAGATTTGGTCACGATAGTGGTGTTTGAGGAAGGGTCAGGGGTCCCCAATAACATACGTCCTCTGGAGATCATTCACAGGAAATGCCATAAAGATCTGGCCGTTTCAACATTATTTTCTTTCAAGCGTATCTTCCTTGAAGATAAATTGCAATCTGCCATTATGCATCATTATGCCATTGTTCCCCCCTTCCAGGATACATGGTGGTACCAGCGGGAGGCGGAGGCACCTTCTTGGGGGGCTACATAGTGAAGAGGTTGAACCTGCGCTGTCGAGGTATCATCCGCTTCTGCATGATGTGCGCCATGGTCAGTCTGCTTGCCATCTTTATCTTCCTCATCCACTGCCCCAACGTGCCCATGGCTGGTGTCACAGCACCATACCAGTCGGGTCTGATGGGGAAACAGCAACTGGACCAGTACAAACACCTGTATGACAAACCCAGCAAGCTGCAGCCTAGAAACAGGTAGGTGATGATTAAGTCAGCACATGTTGGTCTTTGACTGTTGTTAGGTAGTCTAGAAGCTGGTAACGTTATAGTTTGGTAGGTCTGTTTTCAAGTTTACTAAGTGAAACAGTGTTTTCTGTAAACATGTCAAATTATTCCCATGTTGACTGACTTTCTATTGGAGCCAGCCTCAAGTGGCCATGTCAGGAACTGTTTTGGAACTTCTGTGTTTCTTGTATTTCTCAGCCCCAAAAGTTGCCGCTGGGTTGACACATTACTTAAACCTCTAAATCCCAAGCCTGTCATAGTTTTACTCTCTGTGGACTCATATTGCACTCCAACATACAGTCATACCCCGCTATGAAAAAAAAAACACCACCAATGCTAGACGTAGAGAAAACAAAGTTGCATTTCTGTGAAACATGGATCCATAGTGAGGAAAAATGTGACCAGAAAAAAAAAACACCCAGAAAGTGTCTTGGGATCAGAGTGTTGTTTGAATGTTTGATGAGCTTGGTGGACTGTTAAAACACAAAACACAATGACGGAAAACAATTCAAGCACCTTATCATTCAAGTCAAACAAGTTGTACTATTTTGCACACCTGTTGTAGCATTGTCAGTAATCCTAAATTTATATCTTAAGTTTACCTTTGGACCTTTGAGCCTTTGGTTCTCGGCTGTGTTACGAATACTTTCTTGTTGTTGAATTTTCAGTGGGACAGTGTGATTTTATTCTATAAATCTTGTGTTCTTTACATTTCCTTTATTAGATAGCATAGTGGGGGTGGGGCGGTGCGTTTTAGCATAAAATGTCTGTGGATCCGACTTCGCATTACCAGTGAAAAAATATTTTTCCTTATCGCATTGTTTACAATATCAAAAACTAAATGTTGTCACCATAATAAAATTTAATTTGTTTTCCAATGATTAAATTTTATTCTCATTCACAAAATTTTCAATAAAATCATTTATTCTAAGATGCAGAGTACTGGCAAGGAGCAATTTACTGTCACACATGATCAACCATATTTATGCAGACAGCTTCCTTCTTTGCCATCTCTTCATGTCTGTTTGCCTCTGTCTCCTGTCTTCTGTTTGTCCCTGCCTCCCTCGGTCTCTCTGATTTCTTTTTTTGCTCAATGTCTGCAGCTCATCCTTGGACCTGAGTCTGACAGTGGACTGTAATGCTAACTGCAGTTGTGTCAGAGAGCTGTACAACCCTGTGTGTGGGGCAGACGGCGTGATGTATTATTCTCCCTGCCACGCAGGCTGCACCTCCATCAACCACACCGATGTCTCCACGGGAAAACAGGTGTGGCACACTTGGCTCACATTATCTCACCCTGAATGGAAGGAAAACTCACATCTGATTTTTTAGGATTGGAAAGCAGATCAGATCAAAACAAATGAACAAATAGGGAAAGGCCTGCATATAGGGAGGTGAGCTCTATGCTCTAACGTTTGGTCTAGGGATGTCCTAATCTGACCTCAAAGATCAGGATGAAGGCCAATGAAGGCATTTTTAAAACTGTTTGGAATTGGCACAAACCTAAGCCCAATGCTTTGTTTATATCCACTATCACACAGGTGTCACAAAGGGAGAACACAATTTATGGCAGGACAGTAGGAATGCAAATTTTGAATAATTTTAATAATCAAGCTTTATATGAATGTTGGAGGACCGCTGCCCTAGTAAATCCCAGTTTGTGTTAAATGCATAAGCTCTGGCCAGAGGTAGTTAATTGTCACAGAAGTCTTGGTGACTTGTTGCCAGCTAAACGGTCACAATCCTCCCTGCATGCCAACATGAACTGCCTGTCGTCCCAGTGACCGCCTCCTCAGGTCGCTATACAGTAATAAAGAGTAGGAGGCTTCATCTGGTGGAACAACCAGGTACTAGAGCTAATCTATAATACATTTTCTGGGATGCATGTAGAGAATACAGGTTTTTACAGTACGTTGGAGCTTGTGGAGCCACAGCTCACCCTACACACTATATCTCAGACGATGTCCTACCAGAGCTTTACAACAAGGTTCTTGACCACCTATGTAACATTCGGAAAGAGCTTCGAAACAGAAATGTGTTTTGTTCTTAATACATCACAGAGCGATTCAGTTGTATTTATTAGTGTGTTATCGAGGAAAATATAATCGGATTAGAACTCGCTGATATTAAATATTAAATGATCCATATCCAAATCAGGGGCAAAAAAGCTTGATCAGGACATACATAATGTCTTCCATGTACTGAAATGTTCTGCAGTGTTGAAATGGGATCTTTTGACTGCTCTGACATGTGAAGTTTGGGTTCTTTCACTCTTATTTTAAGCTCAGGAGCAGAAAACTTTTTCTCTGTGCAACAGGACATGTCCATTCTGATAAATCTGATACAAGTTGTAGTCCTTTACTTTACCCTTATTAGAAAAAACTGAAAAAGCAGAAACTTGCACCAGCGACACTCTGTCTTTGCACCATCAGCCCCATATGAGACGATGACACTGAATGCAGTATTTGGAGCACTGATGTTATAGAGGTGATAAGAAATGTGTTGTTTTTTTAGCAGTTATCTGGCTGTGCCCACAGTATTTTATCTACAAGAAAAATACTGTTTGCCCCAGACCACAACCGGAGCGATGGTCGGGTCACTAGCAATCCAGAGCTTAACCCCAAAATCTTGAAATGAGTCTGGGGTCATGAGTAAGTCACTAAATATTGCATTTTAAATAAATAAAGTACCATATTAGAAAGCCATCTATCAGGTGTGTCACTAGGTTTTAAGGAAAGAGGGGGCTTAGCCCCCAAGAGATGCACAGAATGTGAGTGAACGTTTAATTCCACAAACGACTAACAAAAACTGAGAAATTTCACTTTTTGGACAGATTTAACAGAAATACTTTACTGTGTAAATGTTTTAGGCCACCATTACGTTTATAAAGATAGTATGAGGAGTGATGCCATGACTTTCACTCACAACACAATAATCTTTTACTCCCAAATATTTTGAAGTTGCACAGATTACATTTTGAGGACATATGTGACTAAAGTGGTTGTAATTTCAAGCCCTGAAAAAAATATTACTTAATTACATAAATTAGAATTACATATTAGGTACTCTTGAAAAATATTTGGACTCGGCAAATTTGGCTTATCCATCTCTTTCTTGGCTATCTCCACTTTCCAATCAGTACTCTCCTAAATAAAAGCTCAAGTTAAATAAGTCTTATATGGTGCACTTGGACTGAAATGTTTCATATTTCATATTCATATCAATTTCCTTAAAATTCCAAGACTGTCTGCACCACAAATGACTATATCCTGTGAAATCCTTTTGATTCGCCTTTCCAGTAGAAGCTTCTCCCCTCTCACTCTGACTATCATTCTTATTGCCATTATTATTATCGACATTATCTTTCGTGAATTAGCTGTTTCACGGTGTGCATCTGATGCTGGAGCTGATGCTCCAGAAGGAAGTCATCCCAAAGACAGTATGAGGAGGAGTGCACACCTAACTCTATACAACCAGGACCTTCACATTGCATTTCAGACTAACTAGCTAGCTAAGTAGCAGCGTTCTTTTAGAGCTGAAATGTAGCTTTTGACCGAAAAACAACAAGGTAAGACATGCAGGTACAGCACACATCTCATGCTGTACATGGGGCTCTCTCCCTCAGAGTGCCAGGTTTTTATTAGTCAAACAGGGACCATTTGGTAATTACGTGGGACTTCCTGCTGTTAGCTGGGGGGCTGGAGCTAACTTATTGTTACTATAAGCAGTGACCAATACTTACTTTCTTGAAAAAATTTTGAATATCCATTCTTGCTCTTCTAATGCTGTTCTAGATGGTTCTGTGTGCTCCGCTCCCGGTACACACATTGCAACCGAGGTTGCAAGGAAAACGTGGACTGCTTTTCAGTGATGTGGGCGTGCTCTATATAGAGCAAGTGGAATGGATTGGATAACAACGCACTGACTGACTTTCGACCTTTCACGATCAAAAGAAGGGAAACAAATATTTATGATCACATTTAAGTTAATAATAACTGGTTATATGATTATTTATTTAAACTCATATTCTGGCCACATTTTAATGAATTTGGCGGCACTTTTTTGTAAAAAAAAAAAAAAAAAAAAAAAAAAGTTAATAAATGTACATAAAATTATTTAGGGGGGCTTAAGAACATTTTAGGGGGGCTGAAGCCCCCCTAAAATAGGCCTAATGACGCCACTGCCGTCTATGCAGCTTAATGCATTGCAACTGATTCCCCACAAATTGTGCTTTTAGAAAATTTGTTGACCTTCTCAGATGTTATTTTAACCATACATTTTTAGTCGAGTTGCAGTAAGTGGTGGTGTCACTGGACTGCAATATATTGATTTAATTTCTACTATTGTCGTGATATTAGAAACACTTCTTCAGTAATGTTGCTGCCCATATCAACCCCACTGCAAACTACATCCTTAACAGTAAGTATGCAGCTAAAATACTCACACATCTGATTTCAACCATCAGTGAATGAAATAATTCAGTCATGCTGTTTGAAATAGGAGCTAATTAACAATTTATCAGCTGCGACTGAACGAAGAAACTGTAGACAATTACTTCCTGAACCCAAGGCAGTTTAAAGGACAACTTTTGGTATCCACTAGGGTCTGTGCAGACCCCTCTGTAGACTTTAATGCACAGCCTAGAAGTTTAGACGATGTCAATTATCCGTGCAGCAAACTCATCCACTGCCTTGTACCTGAAAAGTAGACTAGATACTGTTTCTTGTATGTTCTGTCCACGTCCTTGGCCCTGTTCTTGTGAACTGGATGCAAACACTGTTTTCTCTTTTGACTTTTTTAATGTTGTTCAGCCAAACACACACACAAAAAAAGAGCAGTTTTTCTCCTTATGCCGACATCATGTTTTTTATTGTGCTTGTGTGGAGCTTGTCATCCTGTATTACCATTGTACTTAAAGCACATTGGTTCCAAACAGAATGCACTTGTGATGAACACTCAGTGGTCGGCGCTATGCTGTAGAGATTTGGGATTTAAGCTCCACAAGTCCATCGCTGGCACCGCCTGTGGATGAAAACATCTTAACCAAAGGACAAGCCAATGTTTAAATCCAGTGTTTCTACTAACTGTGCAAAGCTCTGCAGAAAAAATGGCACCACTTTTCTTTTTTTCTTCTTCGCTGTAGGCGTCACCCGTTGTCCAGTACTGGATTTAAAAACTGGGCTTTTAATTACATTTTTTTTTCTCTGTATTTCTTTAAGGGGCTGCAAGGTGGCGCAGTTGGTAGCACTGTTGCCTCGCAGCAAGAAGGTTGCCGGTTCGCGTCCCGGTGAGGACACCGGAATCTTTCTGCGTGGAGTTTGCATGTTCTCCCTGTGCAGCGGGTTCTCTGGCTTCCTCCCACACAGTCCAAAAACATGTTGAGGTTAATTGGTGATTCTAAATTGTGAATGGGAGTGTGCTTGATTTTCTGTCTCTAAGTGTAGCCCTGTGATAGACTGGTGACCTGTCCAGGGTGTCCCCTGCCTTCGCCCTAAGTCGGCTGGGATAGGCTCCAGCCCCCCGCGACCCTTGTGAGGATTAAGCGGTGTATAGATAATGGATGGATGTATTTCTTTAAGTTAACACGTGTAAAGAGCTGACTTTGAGTTCAGTATGTCCTCCGCTACATTATGTGAGTCTGTGTCTGTGTGTGTTTGTAGGTGTACTCTGGATGTAGGTGTGTGGTGGGTAATGTGTCCTGGGGGGAGGAGGGCTTTGCTCTGGCAGGGAAGTGTGGCAGCTCCTGCCACCACATGCCAACATTCCTCTCCCTGCTCTTCATCATCATCTTCTTCACCTTCCTCTGTAGCATCCCAGCGCTCACTGCCACACTCAGGTAGGTGAAAACCTTTAACTCTCTGAGCGCCAAGTAGTTTTCGCTCAACATATCAAACAGCATCATTTTTCTATTTATTTCTAAAAATTCTTTGGATACCTGGATATGTGGGACTTTTTTGAAAGAATGCTGGATGCAAGTGATGTTAAACTGATTAAACACAGACTGAATTAGGGATGCTCCAATGCCAGTGTTGGGTATCAGTGGGTTTATGTGCAATATTGTGCTCATGGTCTCAAATTCTTAACAACTGTTCTCATACAGCTGCAACCAGTGTCACTCTACTACTTCACGTACATATCCTTTATCAGGAAATTGTTCTGTAGGATTGTTACCACTTTTACAACCGCAACAACAGCTCACTAATGATCCCAACAGAGTGTCTGTGGCAGCACAGTGATTCAGAGTGAAAGATTAAACGGATGGAGCAGATGTAGCTGAGGAAAACGGTGTTGGAGCTTCATTATGCCTGCATGTCTGACCAAGAATGTCCTGTGTAGGTGTGTTCCAGACAGCCAGAGATCCTTTGGACTTGGTATCCAGTGGATTGTGGTGCGCACACTTGGTAGGCCCAGTGCATCGTTTTACAAGTTTACCTCTAACATTGAATCACAACCAAAGTGTCTTATTCTCTCCTGTCTGTCTTCCTCACAGGTGGTATTCCGGGACCCATAGCGTTCGGATCAGTGATTGACATCTCCTGCATGCTGTGGCAGGATCAGTGTGGAGAGCAGGGCTCCTGCTATCTCTACCACAACTCAGCCATGAGCCGGTACACACTAGTAGCTGGAATCATCTACAAGGTAACATACAGGCTGACACGGCAGTTTCTCTCAGATTCACATTCTCATGTTTTATATAAAATTTTGCTGTACACAATAATCAGCACGGGCAGAGGAGAAGAATACTACTTTGGTTTAGCTTTCTTAACCCTCTGAACCCCAACACAAACAAAATAATACACCTTTTAATCAGCCAAAACTATAAAAACAAAATCTTTCAACAACTTTTCAACAGTACTTGAACTACTCATCTCTTGGTAAACTTAACCAAATACATGCTTAAAATAGTTATGTTTAATCAAAAATCACTTTATTCTGCATTCTTACCTAAAAATTCACTCTAATTGGCACTATTCCAATTTATTAAAAAACAAAACATTCTGTGCTCCACAGCACAACCATGGCATTTTTACTGACTCAGCTATGATCAATGCTAGTGTAAAAAAAGAAAAAAAAAAAAAATCAGGGACTTTTTGGCTGAAGTGCAGGCAGACACATGAACAGTAACAAATTCAGCACTGGTCACACCTGTGGGCAATTTAGAATCACCAATTAACCTCAACATGTTTTGGACATGAACAGCAGAGAGAACCCACGCTGAACAGGGAGAACATTCAAACTCCAATCAGAAAGATCCCAGGCGTCCTAACCGGGACGTGAACCGGGGATCTTCTAGCTGTGAGGCGACGGTGCTAACCACTGAGTCACCTTGCAGCCCGCAGCAATTAAAACAATAAATATAAAAAGGAGAACCCTAGCAAGCAACGTTGTGCTGATCGATCAGTCATGACTCCAAAGAATCTGTGAAGTAATTTGTAGAAATATTTTGAATTCTTCACACTGCATTGTGAAATTCCCAACTTAGACAAGTCTGTTGGCTGATTGCTACACTAATCGTCAAGAATTTTTCTGACAATGTCAAACTATTCCATTTCTATTTTAAAATATTCTTTTAAAATTGTTCTATGTGCATTTAACCCGGACTAGAGACGTGTCTTCCTCGCCACTATCATCTATGCTGCGACCCCTGTATTTCAGGTTTTGGGGACGGTCTTTTTCCTGGTAGCCAGCATCCTGTACCAGCCTCCTCCAGAGTCACCGCAAACCAGCTGTGAGAGCACCGACCACGGCACGGGACACATGAGTGACCTGCCTGTCAAAGACCTGCCTGAGGACGGCGTCATCGTCAACCTGCACGCCCGGTTATGATGTCCGACACCCGCTAACCAGTGAGGCTGTCTGATTGTGTGTGTTTGTGTGTGAGTGTATTTGCCAGAATGCCTTCATGCACACAAAAACAACTTTCTATAGCTGCTGTCTTGGAAGTAATCCCTGCTTTGACCGCATGTGTGTGAGTGTTTGGTGCCAAACAACAGAGGTTTTTATCTACTAAGAAGCATTTCTACAGATATGTCAAAACTAATCAGTAAAAATGACTTTTCAGAATGTGAGTCCAATGACATTTGTGTTTCAGAATCATTACGTCATGTCATCGTCCTTCAAAAGCATTTTTGATGTGGTGACAACAAAAAAAAAGCATTTATATCCACCTTCTTTTGTTCTTTCATCTGCACCGGCAAATAGTTACAGTGCTTTATTATCTACACATAGATGAAGCCATAATGTAATATAGTGTACAAGATCCCCAGGTCAGCAACAATGAAGCCAAATCATATTTATATCATACATCCAATAAAGAGCATTAAAATGCACTTACAGTTCCTATAGAAGGTATTCAGACTCCTTGACGTACCACAGACTTTATGTTAAATAGATACTTTTGCTGTTTTTGCCCATCACTTTTCACTCAACAATCTGAACTGACACATAAAAAAAAAGTCTTCTTGGGTAAGTCTCCACAATGAGACCTGGGTTTTGACAGTTTATCCTGAAAGATCTTTCTTGTCGCAAGATTGGAAAAGAAGCAACTGAGATAAACTTCAGACGACTTGTCTTGAAGCCAGCTGTCTTGGCTGTTTGCCTCAGTTCAATGTAGTGCTGAACTGTTGCCTCAGTATGAGGTGCTTGTATTTGGCTGCATTCATCCTTCCCTGAGTCCTGACTGGTCTCCCTGTTCTAGTAGGTGTCCAATGGGACGTTCCCGAACATGAGGGGTCTCGCTACCTTTGAACATTAGATGCTTGATGGGCATTCAACTGGACCATATCACCGTAGATGAGAAACAAATACAGACTACAGCCTCGTACAACTGTGCAAACACTGGCGCCTGATGACACGAATATTTCACTTGTGGACTGTGTGCTCCTGGATTTCAAACCGAAACCAAAATGGTGGCTCACTTGAAAACTTTCTGTTGTATTACAAAAACAGTTCACCAAAATGTGCTTCTGAAATCACAAGGTGAAAAATAAGCCGTGCAGCCCATGAATCTGTCTTTATTTTGGATCGAGTTTGTTCAAAAGTTTTTCGAGAGTTTGTAGAAGCATCTCCTGATTTAGCTCAACTTTTTCCAAATAAGGAGCAGTAAAAGACACGCCCCATCTCTCAAACTGTCTCCTACTTATGTAGACAATAAATGGGAAGTATAAAAATGATGGATTCTGTGGACACATGCCATTACTCTGAGCGCCCTCTGTTGAGCTGCTCTACCAAAAAGGCCTGAGTGAGAAGGTGCCACTAAGACGGTCATCCTTCCTGGAGGTTCTCCATCTCCACATAGGACTTCTGGTGCTCTAACAGAGTAGGCTTTAGAAACAGCTGATCTATGCCTCACCACAGCTTTACCATGGAGGTCTGTGAAGAAATCCTTAGACTTCATGGCTTGTTTTTGTTCTTACATCCTGTCTGAATCGTGGGACTGCATATACAAAAGTCTCTCTCTGCGGCAAACAGTTCAGTTTCTAAACACATCTCAAGGATTGATCTGTGAATTGAATTAATGTAACGTGAACATAAACTATTAATCACAGTACAGCAGCACAAATATATTTTCAATTAGAAAAGCACATATGTATAAGAGATTGTATTTCAAAGCAGTAATGCAGGGACAGAAAAAATCACATTACTTTTGTGATCTACATAAAATAGATCTATGTATAGATTGCTCTGCTGGCCGATTTGGTAGTACCACTCTGATGCTACTCTTCCATAGGAATTGAATAACTGCACTTTAAAAGAAATATACATTTGCAAAGTATGTGTTAAAGCAAAGCAGGCATTTAAAGGTGGAGTAAGTAATTCTGAGAACACTGGAGCAGTGTTGGGTGGATCGGTCTGAGCCACTTTGTTTCCCATTTGCAGAGACAGAATGTGTAAAACCACAAGATTTTTTTGTTTTGTTTTTTTGTTTTGGTGCACACACAGAGCAGACAGCTTGCAGAGATATTTGCAGATTTTGACATAAACTGTCTTGGATTAGAATCACATACTCCACCTTTAACACCTGCTTTTAAAATAGTAAAATGTTGCAATATAATCTGTTGTTTTCTGTGGAGCTGCTGCAAAAATATGTGCGAATATCTGTACGTCCATGGTGGACTTGGCATGTGAATTTGGACCTTGACCAGAAGACCTTTTCACAGAGGACATGTTGATCTGTCACAGCAGGAAAATCATTAACAATGTCTCAGTGTCGTTAGGTGTCCTCATAAATCATGACACTAAGCCAGACTGTGCAATAAAATGATCCTAGAACTGGCTAACCTAAGTGGAATGCAGTTATTTTAAATGCTGCACTTTTCCTGTTATGACAAGCTAAATGTCCACTCTAAAAAGGTCAATTGAGGCTGTGTCTCCAGTGATGACTGCTGAAACAACGGAGAGAGTCAGAAATGGAGGAATCTTTCTGAGCTTGTTAGCCGTGTCGCATCATTTAGTATTCAGATACTCTTCCCAAAGTAAGAAAACCTGAAAAAAAGCAATCAAATAAAAAAGTAAAGTCCAGGACAGGAATTCAGCTTTCCTAAAAAATCCCTTTATTGCTCAAAATTAGAGAAGATTTAATGGATATGGATGAAACCAAGATGTATTTAGGTTCTAAAAAGTAATTTAAGGGGCCTATTCCAATCGCCTAAATAAATGCATGTCTGCGAGGAAAAACACTAATTAGCTTATATAAAGAAACTATTTAATTGCAAACATTATTTTGATGTTCTGGGCTGACATAATAATGTTAGTAAATGCATTAACTTAATATTGTGAGTGATTTAAACTCAAATTTCTGTATTAGTTGATTTAAAACAAAATGTGACTTAATGAAATTGGTTCAATAACTTAATTTTTCCTAATTCAAACTCACTAAGTTCAGGATTTCAAGTCCTTTCCTCTATCTTGTCATGCATTAACAATGTCAGAAAGTAAATCAAAATACCTTTGATTGTAGATGAACAGCTAATTCCTGTAGCGTTATTTGTTGGTTGAACATAATGCCATTAGAAACTTCCTGAACTTTTTGAGTCCACACATCTACATTTTTCGAGTGTACATGCACTGGTAAATTATCAAGGGGGTTTGGAGTTTGTGCACAATGAATATCAATTGTTTATTAAAGTCCCAACGGTTGCAATCACAAACAGTTGGTGCTGTATATTTGTCTTAGCATATTGACAATAAACTTCATAAACTGCTTTAAAAATGCTGAATGACAGATACATTGATGAGATGAAGTACATTCTGTCACACAGCTAATCAGCTACAAAGGCTTCTGACATTTTGGAGCTCTCCGTTTGTTCAGTTCTGATTTGACTTCTATTGGTCAAAAGGGATGAAGTGACTGCCACAGTGGTTGGCGGCTTTAAGTGTTTTGTGGCAGAGATATTCTGGGAAGTAGTTTGTAAGCTGGGGCTGCTGAAGGTGATGCACAACTGGCACGACATGCAGTAAAAGAAATCAGCCTGTTATTTGGACCTAAATATCACAGTACTGTAAGTCGACAAATGTGCCAAAGCAGTTTTGCCTAACAACTCTTGTACTTTATTGTTTATCATTGGCCTTATTTATGCAATTAATTTATTTATAATATTTCAGCTCTTATATTGGAGTTTCGCATTTACTGTGTGATGATAACAGGAATGCTGCCCCGGCCACCCTCTGTCAAAACCTCCACGTCTTGTCTACATTGTTTATGTGATAGTGAAACACAACCTACTTGTGTTGCCTGTGTTATTGTTGTCATCATGTACTCTGCTCTTGTACGGACTGACCTAAACACCTGATGTTGAAGAGTTTGATTTCCATATGAATGTATATATGCAGTTCTCCTAGTTGTGCTTTCGAAATCAGTCCCTGAGCTTTGACAAGCCACTCTGTAAAACGATTTTTATTCTTTTTTATTTTGTTTTTGGTACTGTGTTTTTCTAAAAAAAAAAAAAAGAAAAGAAAAAGATAGAAAGAAAAAAGAAATGGAAGCAGTGGACTTGAAATCAATGATCTTTTTATGAAAGAAATTCAAAGATGTCAAGTGTTTTCTAATTACAAAATCTGAACAGCAGATTGTGTCTCAGATGTTTTCTTTTTATCATGTTGTGCGTGCGTGCGTGCGTGTGTGTGTGTAATCTTCTTGAGATGAGAAAGGAACAAATACCATACACACAACTTCAACTTCTCTAATTAGTCTTCTTTAAATTCCTACTTATACTCAGGTAACAGCTTTGCGCTCTCATCATTCTCCAACAGGCTTCAACAAATCATCCCCTTAACCTTCTCTCACCGTCTTGACAGACTTTCAAAAAAAAAAAGTGAATCCCTTAAAACTGTAATTGTGGTTTGAATAACCTAAGAATTTGCCAACAGTTCTTACTAAATCCATCATTTAAGACTGACATGTCTAGCTATGCATGCACGCTTTGCAAGATTTACAGTCAGCCTTTGGTTGCGTCATGATGGTGCCTTTCATTGGTTTTTCTTTTAAAATGATAAACTGAAGCAGCTTGAGTAATTCTCATAACATTTCAAGCAATACAATTATTGTAAAGGTTCCAAATGTTTGTTTTAAAATATTTACAATGCATCTGTCAAATATTAGTTAGCTGTAGTGAAAATCTATGAACATGAAGACACATAAATGTATTTTCTGATAGTTTTATTTAGGAATTTCCCAGAAGGCTCACTGCATTCAGAGATCAAAGGGTCTCCACAGTCTCCAGAGCAAAATCCAGCTTTCTGATTTCTGTGTATCACACACACAATCTGACACAAAAGGGGAAGTACTGTCACTCAAACAGTCACAAACAGACAATTCTTTTATTGCTATGTTGAGTCTCTTGCAGTCTCTCACCTTAACCGCGGTTCCTGTTAGTTCCTGGTTCGAAGGACAGCATTTCAAGGAACTAGATTAAGAGAGTTTGCTGAAGACATCAGATTAACGGAAACAGACATATTAAAAAACAAAAAAACAAACAAACAAAAAAACTATTGTGTTGTAGTATTTTATGACATCAGCTTTTCCTTAGCTATTCCGAAATATGTTTTGTTGAGATTTTTGTTTGTGATGCTGGCCACTAGCGCAAAAAAAGGTTTAGAAATGTGAAGTTACCAGGTGATGCATTTTTTTCTTTTACACAAATGTATGCTGAGAACTTGTTGGCTGGTTCTCCTTCACTCTGGGCTTCACTTTATCCCGAACCATCTCAGCTGGGTATACATAGGTTATTGTACAGGTCATCTTATCTGATGCAGCACTCCTTCACTCTGTTCTTGGTCAAACAGAGCTTACAGATTCTGGAGGTGAGCTGCCCTGTTGTCTTGAATTCTGAGTAAATCTCTAATAGTGTTAACCCCCCTTTGCCCCTCTTCCTTGCTTTAATGTAGAAACCCCAGATGCAGATAAAAATCATTCACCTTCTTACAAAAACATAGTGTTTGGAGCCAAAAATCTCACATCTGCAGTCATCAGACCAAAGTACAGGTTTCTGCTGGTCTTAAGTCCATTCATGATGTTTCTTGGTTCTCTTCTTCTTCTTCTTCTTCTTCTTCTTATTCCTGGTCTCTCTCGGTTCTGGTCTCCCTCCAGCAGTTCTACCATAAATGCCCGATTCTCACAGACTCCTCTTAGCAGTTATATGTGTCTTGCTGCTTGAACTCTGGCAGGTATTGATCTGGGCTCTAATCTGAGCTCCTGGTAATCATTGTTTTCTAATGAACTTTCAGTGCAGCAGTGGGAAACTCTTAGTCTTCCTTACCTGGGGAGGTCCTCATGAGAGTCAGTTTCATGAAAGTGTTAGATGTCATTCCATCATGAGAAAATAGTTTTGACACAAAAGAACCACAACATCTATTCTAACCTGTTTTGACCAACCACCTGATATTTATAGAGGTCAGTCAGAAAAGTTCCAGGACTGGTCTTACAAAAGATATATTCCAAATCCAAACTACAAACTACAAGTTTTCCCCTTTGAAGTAATCACCCTGAAGTCTAACACACTTTCCCAGCCTTCTCTGCCACGCCACCATACATTCCTGGAAGGATTCTTCCGAGGTCCTCCGCAGTTCCACCGTCGCAGCTATCTTGATGTCGTCCACGTCTTCAAAACGGGTCCCCTTAATGACCCCCTTGAGCTTGGGGAAGAGGAAAAAATCACACGGAACCAGGTGGGGTGAGTAGGGAGGTTGCTCCAGCACGGCCATGTTGTTCTCACCCAGGAACTGTTGGATGTTGAGGGAATTGTGAGCAGGCCTGTTGTCATTGTGAAGCAGCCACGACTTGTCCTGCCATAACTCTGCCTCTTCTGAATGAAGCAAACGCCGCAGGATATCTTTGTAGACGTGTTGGTTGATTGTCTGAAGGGAAAAACTCGTAGTTTGTGGTTTTGTAGTCCTGGAGCTTTTCTGACACGCTTCGTAATAAATAAAATACACCTTTTAAAGCTGTCCCTGGTGAATTATTAAAAAACAGATAAAACATCCAGGGTACCAGTGCTTGAGTCTGTGACTCTTTGTCATAGATAATAAACTGTGGCAGTTCTGCTTTTCAAAATATGAAATATCCAATGGTGTTGAATGAATGAATGGTTTATTTTGGTTACAATCTACGGTACAAAAATTGAATTGTGTGCATTCAGCTGACAAATAATTACTATACATGCTTGCATTAAACAATTTTTTCTCACAAAAGCAAATTTAACAAGCTCTGTAACCGAAAAAGAAATAGACTAAAGCCAAGGCTTATTTTTACCTACATGTTGATGTTCAAAGATTGTTATAGAAAAAAAAGAAATCATTCTTAACAAAAACAAGATTTTGCTTTAGACTGTGACAACTGTAGTGGATGTAGAAATGATTTGGTTGCAGTTTTTAACAGTTAAATGTGCTTTTCAGTAATGTAATAGGTACAACTAAGGGAAAATGTCACATGACTTTATTAAACATTAAGTTATTGTGCAAAAAAAAAAAAGAAGCTTATTCTGAAGAGGTCAGAGAGTGACATTTCTTCAAGCATTTCTTTTGTTGAATTGATTCTTTTGTGTCTACACTTGAAGAAACCATCCTATGAAACTAAAGCTAAACTTCTTTAATATATATTTAAAAATAATGCTGGACTGTTGTTCAGTGGCGGCTGGTGAGAAAAATAGTAGGTGGGGCTGAAGGTCTGGAAACCAGAACCCTGTAGGGGGGTCCGGGGGTATCCTCCCCCGGGAGATTTTTGGGGTATTTTACATGTAAATTAAGGATTCTGGTACATTCTGAGAAAATAATTAGGGGAAAATATGATCTTGACCTACAAAGACAAATTGGGTGGGGGAAACTGTATTTTAACTTATTAACAGATTATTATAGCCTACACACAGCCAACCTACATTAATGTA